TATAAAGTGGGGTCGAGACGGAGAGGGCGAGAAGGGGAGAGAGTAAGAAAAGAGAGCGGGTAATGATCAGAGAGTGAACACTACTCCTACAATATCATCTTCTCCCTGACAGTAGCAGTGTCCCTGTAGTTGTGTCAGTGATGCGTCAGGTATTCGGTATATAAAACAGGTAGAGTAGACAGGAGGATAACATATAATGGAAAGAGAAGGCGGCACACAGGAGAACAGACGGAGCGATTACTCACCAGAGCCAGCTCCGGGTCAGCGCTGGGATCCACCCCAAACTCAAAGTCACTGGCCCCCAATCCCAGCATGGCACCTCCTTCTCCTGCCAGAATGGGGGAGCTGATCAGGGCATCGGCCAGGCTGGGCCCCGGTGGCACAGTGACGAGGTGTGAGCCTGTCCCATCCTTTCCGTTCAATGTATTGATAAACGCCGTCAGCTTCTCTGTATTCAACTCCTGAACGGAGAAATAGAATAGATGTTCAGATCTGGTGACCCTCGTCCCTGTGCCAACTACATCAGAGGGGTGCACTGTCCACTTACCTCCTCCCCGAAGTTGATGATATCTACGCTGACCTTCTCTTTCTTTAGCCGTTTTGCCATTTTTACCAACTGCAAGAAAAAGAGAGAAAAAAAATAAATATGTAAGGGGTGTGGCCAGCTAGTCCTCACCAACCAATGCCAGCTACTGCCACCTGGCCAATCAGAAGAGCCAGACCAAATATTCCAGAACAACATCATGTGACATCTCTGAGCCTACACTTTCCCAACCATGGCAGACCTGGATTTTAACCAGCACATTAGATACCTAATGACCCTGGTCAGGCATACCGCATCAAAAGCAATAAAATACTTCAACTGGGGGCCAGACACAGGAGGCGGCCAGAGGCTGCACACGCGGTACAGGAGGCGGCCAGAGGCTGCACACGCGGTACAGGAATACAATGACAGAGGCCTATGACCAATGTATGTCTTCCACCATGAGGTATATAAAGAATGAGCGGTGGTGGAGTCGGAGGACCCTCACATATAATAAGATGGAGTCCAGAGATGTGCGATTGGGGTGAAGTGCAGACAGAAGATCTCACAAATCGTCACACACAGACTTACGTCTTTCTCGTTATCCTCCACTGGGCTCCCCACGAAGGCGATGATCCTCATCTTGTGATTCTTTCCCTGGCGATGTTTCAGTGACAGCTGATGAGAAAGAACAGTCACAGATCAGACACAGGTTGTATACCCCCCCCC